TATATATATATATAAAAAAAAAACAAGTCAACTTTAAATACAACAAGACTGGACAAGCACCCCTGGCAATCGCCCTTTAGTCCTAACCTGCTTTGGTTTACACTTAGAACAGATAGGACCGTTGGCACAAAATGTAACCTATTTCCTTGGTGTTCTGTTTTATTTAAAGTAGGTTTGAAGAGTTCCTGCACATCTTCCCATCTTTAAATTAGGCTCTACGTTTTTTGGTGTAACATTTCATATCTTGTTTGTATGGGATGGAGAATTCTTGATGTTAGTGTATAGTAAGTCTTTTGGCTTCGACATTGGAAGAACACAAGAGCCCTATTTTAAAAGATTGGTCTTAAATACCATCATAATTTCTGGAATGTTAACAAGTGTAAGAACGACAAGATAAACTGAACAGATAATACATTCATAGGAACATTTCATGCCACATTATTAACTTCAAGGATAATGTAATTGGTAAACATTTACATATATTTTGTCCCCCAGAAGGATCTAATTCTGCTTTACATTTTCATATATAACTAGAATGAAATTACAGGTAATTTCTGACATCTAATTAACTGATTGATATTGCATTTATGACTTCTCACAATTTAAGACTATTAGATGTAACCTAATGTCAGTGAAATACAATTTATTTTCTGCTGACATCTTCTATTGGAATAGTGTACACAGTATAGTATGTATGTATGTATGTATTTTGTGTGTTGTGTGTGTGTGTGTGTGTGTGTGTGTGTGTGTGTGTGTGTGTGTGTGTGTGTGTGTGTGTGTGTGTGTGTGTGTGTGTGTGTGTGTTGATTGAGCTAGGTACAATTATGGGGACAGCACATACTAGAGAAAGAGTTGAGGGAAAAATACCAGTGAATGCAATTTTTGCTGGCTTAACTGTCGTCTGTATACATTTTTTATCCACTGTCTCTCAATTTGTCTGTTACAAAGTTGTTCAAGTAGATTTAACTTCATAGAGCTTCGTAGAGACAACGTATGAACTCATAGAATATACATAAGGATATATAAAGCATTTGAAAACAAATATGTTAATTTTAAAGCTCAAATATAAACAATACAATTTGTAATTTCAATGGTGACCTCTCCAATAAAGCTTTCTCCTTTTAGACTATTTTGTCTGTAGACCACCTACTTGTGTTTATATTTTACTTTAGAGTCATTTAGTAAATATTAAAAAATCATTAATTATTTAAGCCCTTAACAAATGTCACCGTCAATGTGAAAATTCAGCACTGTGAGGGAAAAAGTTGCACGCATCTGACAGTGAAACTGAAGCCATTTATTTGGGTAGTAAATAAGCAATTACACTGGGTTGAATTATATTTGAATTTGTACATCGTTACACACATTAAAATGGTCTGTTTATTTTGTTTTCTTAAAGGACATTTCAGGCATCTATTGTGAATGAGCATTGCAGCATTTCAAATTATTAATCTTGACCATTAACTTCTGTAGCTAGCTGTGTTTGTGGAAGCATGACGAATATAAATGATATTGTCACTGAGTTCGGCTGCTCTATGGAGGACTCAGCTACTATTGACAGCCTAATTATTTTGGCTCTGTTGTGCTAGGGAGTTGCTTGTTAATATTTGCTTGTTTATAGCATGTATTATCAATCCTTTTGGTTTTAACTATTCACTTAACTAGCAGCTTTGCAAGCATTATAGTCTTTGAGTTGTGCCACAGCACATACTTTTAATGGTATGCACAGTCTTATTGGTTGGTAGGTTAGCTAACACTGCTACTGCTAGCTAACAACATTAGTTCACTTACTAGTAGCTAGATGTTGTACTTTTGAGCAATTATTAAGAACGTATCATTATGCAGTTTAGTTTATTTACAGAACTATACAAAAGGTAACTAAAAGTCAAACTGATGGTGTTTATTTGGTTATTAAGTGTTTTGTTTTAGTTTGTAGGTCTATTTGATCTTATTTTTTTCTTCAGATTCACTGACCTTCAACAGCAGAATTTAGCAATATAAACTACAACATCAAATAAAACCAAAATCCATTGTACAATTTGAAAATTAGCAATAAGCGAGGGTTGGTCAGTGATTAGGACACATTAACTAGCCACTGAACCTGTATAATTCTTCATCTGGATCATTTGTGAGTATTGTGTGGGGTGGGGCGATGAAGACCACAGAGGTAACCTTGACTTGACGCGTCAATATTCCCAAGAGTGCCATACAATTACAAGCAATTACCTAAGAACGACTGGACACTGTTCAATTATTCTTAAATGAGGAATCAAGAAATGGTGACTCAAAACTACAACATTAGCGATTACTATCATTGACAACACATGACGCGGTGCTGAACGTCTGTCTCATTCACACTGACGAGAAAGAAGGAAAGATAAACGAACGAGCGAGAGAGAGAGAGATGTAAAGTGAAAGAGAAAGAGAGGGGGATGCAGGGAGAGGGAATACAGAGGGGGGAAGATAAACGGTTAGAGAGATAAAGGATAGAGAAATAGACAGATGGAGAGAACGGAAAGGACAGAGATAAGGGGATTGAGAGAACAGAGGGGGAAAGAGGTGTATAGAAAGGGTTTGGGCTGGAGGGAGTACAGTAGTAGCCTGATTAGTCTGGCAGAAGCATTGTCTGACACTTGGCAGGGGGTAGACTAGAGGCTATGTGTGGACATGTGTGTGTGTGTGCTTGATAGTGTGTGTGTGTGTGTGTGTGTGCGTGTGTGTGTGTGTGTGCGTGTGTCTGTGTGTGTGTGCTTGATAGTGTGTGTGTGTGTGTGTGTGTGTGTGTGTGTGTGTGTGTGTGTGTGCGTGTGTGTGTGTGTGTGTTTGTGTGTTTGCTTGAGAGGCGTTTTATCTAGAAACACAGTCGAGGCCCAATGTAATGAGAACATAGAGGCTTACTTTAGTCAGAAACACAGTAGAGGCCCAAAGTAATGAGTAAATAGAGGCTTACTTCAAGGCTCTACTAAAACTCTTCACATATAACAGCTTCTATCTATGACCTATACAAAAGCTAAGACCATTGAAGTGCTTGCCTGTCTGTCTGTCTGTCTGTCTGTCTGTCTGCTTGTCTGCCTGCCTGTTTGCCTGTCTGTCTCGCTTTCTCTCTTTCTCTGGTCCAGAAACTCCAATCCAAAGTGTTCAGCCTCAGTCTGTCAAATGACTGGAGGGCTGACAATCCACTGTCAACATCCATCTGCACAGTTTATACCACTGTCCCATGTCACCACACGATACTGAGCAGATCCGGCTCACATTTGTTATAGCGCCCAAAAATGCTACCTAATGACACTCTCCCTTTGCCAAGCCTGTTAAATATGCTGCCACAGTCTCCTTACGCCCCCCCTTTTGGGTTCTCCAAATGACCAGAACATCCTTGGTGAAGTGGAAACTGCATATGTTATAAGCCCGACGCCAGGCAGAAATTCGTAAAGCATGCAGTGTGCTTTTCATGACCCCCCTCTGAATTCTGAGTGAGAACTGGCTGAGCGATCCAAATGTCGACTGGTAACTAGACTGACCATGCGTACTCCAGTTCACACATACCGCATGTAGGGCTTAGAGAACTGGGAACGGGCACGCCTCGTCCCAGTGATAATCCAGCGCTCCTCTATTGCGTTTCCTTAACTTCGGCCATACAGGCACGTGCGAACGTGCACCTATTCCATTCCTCGCACACTTCCCTCCTCCGCGCTCAAACGTACTCGAACCCGTCCGGGCGCACGCACGCACGTACTCACGCGCGGGCCTGCGTCTGCGAGTTGTGTCCGTGCGAGGCTGAGATAATGGCATCTGTCGCTGCTCCTTTTGTCGCCACTGCAGCTGCTCACTGGCCATTAGCTGCCCGTCGTGGTCTGACTGACCCGGCACGACATGGTCTGCTGGCTGATCAGTCAAAGAAATACAGGAGACGGTTTGCTGTTCTCCACACCCCCCTGCACCCCAGAAGAAGAAGGGAGGAGTGATGAGAAAAGGGATTTCTGACAGTCAGAGAACCATATTCTTGACTCTGTACAGAGGCCTCCACAAACGGTACCCCAACCAACTCGCCCACTTTTGTCTTCGAATCAAATGTAAAGCGTCAATTTCCGGGATGCCGTCCTAATTAGATCGTCCTAATAATTTTTTGTACAGTAGCAAGTTTGCGAGCAAGTGTCGCCCTCACAGAAGAAGGAAATCAATTAACGACTTCCTGGTTCGCCAGGAATCCCAATCTCCCCCTCATCGCGTGGGCTCACAATGACAGAGGCCGATAAGATAAGTCACCAGAGTGGAAGCTTCATTAAGAGTTTCACGACACGATCGTCGCCGTAACGACGGCGCGCGCGTCTCAGATCACGATTCGACCAGACGCTCAGTCGCGACGCAATGGAACGAGAGAGTGACATCACGGACAGTAGTGACGGGCCCGTGTTCTGTTGTTTTAATATCGTTACTGGTTCGAGTTTCCTTATTAGATGGCAACGGGGAAGTGTGTGTGTGGGGGGGGTGAATGAGCGTCGGTTTTGATAAAGCAAGGCAATTTCAGGAGCTGCTATAGTGCCAAATTACAGTTGTACATCATGCTGGTCTCTCTCTCTCGTTGTGCTAGCGTGTGATGTTAACATTTGATTTGCATGCTGCCTTACCACTGTGAGGGCGAGCGTCGGGGGGGTTGAGGGAATATTAGTGACTCAGGAGGAATTAAACGCAGACACTAGCGCCATCTAAAGGCCGGATCGTGTACGCGTTCCGCCGTCTTCATTTCAGCGAGCCAACAGCGGATTTTAACGTGAGTTACTTTGATATGACCCAGGTGAATACGTCGGACAGTCTAAAGTGTCATCTGTAAGGATTTCACGGAGTTGACTAACGCAATAATCCCGCAGGAATGTCCAGGACACATTCCTATAACCTCACATCATCTCACCTTATTAAACATTTACAGAAAATAAGCTCTATATATAACCCACATGCCGTCACTATTAATCCACCTCCACTTTGTTGATTGACATGTTTAGAAGGTGTTGGTAGCTCAGTGGTAGAGTGCACGCTTTGTGTGTATGACGTCCTGGTTCCAACCCCCATCCTCTACCCAGGTCGCCGTTGCAAACGCGAATTTGTTCTCAATCGGCCTACCTGGTTAAATAAAAAGAATGTCACATTTCCGATACCTTCGCGTCTACTGCGGCGCACGCGCGTGCATTATTTATCTGAAATGAGTGCCTGCCTAAAGAACCAAACCGAGCAACATGGGGAGGTTGGAGAGCTTCAGGAACCACGGGGAAGCCGTCACCCGGGATTAATGCAGGGGTTTTATAAGAAATTAGAGGTTTAATGAAGTGGATAAAAAAGCTGTCAGTTTTTTATTGCATCTAAATTGTGGGGAAGTGGTGTTTAGTTGCCTCGCCTACCTCTGCACATAATGGCTCGTGACAGGGCCTGCGAGGCTTATTAAACTTAACTGGCGAGGCACCCTCCTCCACGCGGCTCTTTCCGGCTGATATTTCCTACTGTAAACCAGTGGAGGGTCTAAGGTTTACCAAAGAGTGGTTGGTTTGAAACCTAAATGCTTATTAGCTGAAATCGGTGATATATGCGAGATCTTTTAGAGTGGGAATGACAAAAAAATACTCTATACTGATGTAATTGTCTTGTTAAACAGTTTGTAATAGCTTTAAGGCCTCTCATGGGTTTTGGTTATTGGCCAGTACGCCACGACAATGTGCCATGTCCAGGCACTGCGCATGGCATCGTTCCAAAGAACAACCCATAGGATGAAAGTGTTGTGGGCAGAGGAGACCAAAAATTTGCCATTTGGCATCAACTCAACTCGCCGTGTTTGGAGGAGGGAGAATGCGCCCTATGACCCCAAGAACACCATCCCCACCGAAGAACATGGAGGTGGAAACATTAAGCTTTGGGGGTGTTTTGCTGGGGACAGGTCAACTGCACAATATGGATGGGATCATGTACCGTCAAATCTTGGGTGAACCAGAGCATTGAAAATGGCTTGTGGATGGGTGTTCCAACATGACAATCACCCAAAACACACGGCCAAGGCAACGAAGGAGTGGCTCAAGAAGAAGCACATTAAGGTCCTGGAGCGGCCTAGCCAGTCTCCAGATCTTAATCCCATAGAAAATCTGTGGAGGGAGCTGAGGGTTTGAGTTGCCAAACGTCAGCCTCGAAACCTTAATTACTTGGAGAACATCTGCAAAGAGGAGCGGGACCAAATCCCTCCTGAGATGTGTGCAAACCTGGCGGCCAACTACAGAAAACGTCTGACCTCTGTGATTGCCAACAAAGGTTTTGCTACCAGGTACTAAGTCATGTTTTGAAAAGGGGTCAAATACTTATTTCACTTAGTAAGATGCAAATCAATTCAGAACTTATTTTTTGATATTCTGTCACTTACTGTTCAAATAAACCTAATCAAATACTTTCTTCCTTCACTGTAACCTTCATTAAAGACCATTTATAAAGGCCATGTTCTTCATTTAACGTCGTTCGTGGCCTCTCTTTCCAGGTAAGTGTCTCAGGGGTGGACCCCTGTGGCGAAAGTTAGGTTTGACAACATAATGACCTTCAGTAGATTATTAATATTACGACTATTTGCATATGCATGAATCAAACTGTAACCTTGAAATTGTGGTTATATGGCGCCATCTAATGTTCATTAAGTAAACCACAAAGAACATCTGTTTCGTATGTGCAAGTGTTTATTTAAAATGAGATTTTCCTTTGTTTAACTAGGTAGGCTGATTTCGAACAAACCCTCATTTCCCACGACGACCTGGGGAGCAGCTGGAGATTGAACCCTGGCCATCATACATACAGAGCATGCAAACTACCACTGAGCTACACCAACTACTCGATAAATGATAAAACCTTTGGCAGAACTGAGAACAGCCTAATAGTGGATTCTACACGTTCTCAAATGTAGCTATTCGGAAATAAAAAAACATAAACGCGCAGAAAAAAACACATTTCTTGTGGTCAACAAGGCAGAATAAAAAGCAATTTGGTCATTTTACCCCCAGATTTCATCTTCTGTTATTCACGGTCTGCATTTGCCGTAGTGAAATAAAATGAGCAACGTTGTTGTTGTAGTACGGCTTGGCAAAAATGCTTCAAACGTGCACGGAATGGGTTCATATTTGCTTTCACTGTGTTTCCTGTGTTTTCTGTGGACTGCTGTGATCAAGCCAAGTAATAAACCTGAACTCCTCAGCAAAAGTGAAACTTTTACAAAGTTCAAACAACTGTGTACTTCAACAAAATATCCTAGAGCACAGACTGCATTTTAAATTCGTCAGAGATGTGAACAATCAACACTGCTACAGTTCATGGCTGCATTTAAACAGAAGGCCCAATTATGTCACCCATTAACGACAAAGTGCAGTCAAAAAGGCTGTTTTTGCTGTGTTTTGTTTTGAAACTAACACTGAAAAAATTTGAAGACTTTTGATCAGTGTTGATTCTTGATTGTAGACCTGAAATAATGGGATAGCAAGAAAAAAATGGCAGCACTGATTATTTAACTTCTGACAAATTACTGGAAAATAAGATCTGGACAACATGCACATGCAATACTATTCGGCACAGAGTGGTGAATATAATTGTACCAGAACAAACAAGAAACCTTCATTAAAAATAATATCTGAACAGGCTATAAGGCATCACATCTCCTCTGAGAATCTCCTCAGATGGGCCATACCACTAGCAGCAAAGGCCCAAGACAACATGACCACAACATGACCACAACATGACCTACAGTCTCCACACCAGAACGGCCTCTGTGTGACTCTGAAGATGACCTCATACAGACATTATAAGCAAAAAAATACTCAAAATCAGCACATTTAAAAAAAACTGCCTGAAGTGAAAAGGTGTAGTTGCTGTACTGTCCATGAACCTGCGGACAGGATGCAGATTGCTGAGTGAAATGACTCGTAGCATTAGTGAACGAACTAGTAACATTAGTGAACGAACTAGTAGCATTAGCGAAATGACTCGTAGCATTAGTAAACGAACTAGTAACATTAGTGAAATGACTCGTAGCATTAGTGAAATGACTCGTAGCATTAGTGAACGAACTAGTAACATTAGTGAACGAACTAGTAGCATTAGCGAAATGACTAACATTAGTGAACAAACTCGTAGCATTAGTAAACGAACTAGTAACATTAGTGAAATGACTCGTAGCATTAGTGAAATGACTCGTAGCATTAGTGAACGAACTAGTAACATTAGTGAACGAACTAGTAACATTAGTGAACGAACTAGTAACATTAGTGAACGAAGTAGTAGCATTAGTGAACGAACAAGTAGCATTAGTGAACGAACTAGTAACATTAGTGAACAAACTAGTAGCATTAGTGAACGAACAAGTAGCATTAGTGAACGGACTAGTAACATTAGTGAACGAACTAGTAACATTAGTAAATGAACTACTAACATAGTGAATTGAACAGTTCATTAGTATCCGCAACCTAATTCATCATGTCCATTGAGAACACACAACTGGAATGTAAATATCTTGTGGAAGGGCATTTCTAGTTCAGCTTGTTGCCAAACACATCGTGTTGACTTGACAACTACTACGAGCACGGTTGCACCTTCGTAGGAGAGCGCAAACAGCACTGGGGCCAGGCTAGTTGGTAATAGCATCTGACAACATGTTCTGTCAGGAAGAGCAGGCTCGTGCTTGAACAACTCGTAAAGTCAGACGTGTAGGAGTTGACCATGTTAGACCGATGTGTTTAGCTGGTGGTTGACGTGAATTATTACTTAAAGGGCAGGCATCCATGCTAGTCAGTATATCAACAATATGGTGTCAAAACAGAACAGCTGGACTGGCTACCCACGTCATGCTTAGAGGAATTTAAACAAAATGTGTTTTATTCCTGGACGAGAGAATAAGCTAATGGGACATTTCACGAAGGCGACACTTATCGGATGTCCGTGCAACATTCTAATGAACCAGATATCCAAATGCAACCGGTTACACTTCAGTTGAACCCGTGAAGTCGTCTCTAGGTTTCACTGATCAGCACTGGCAGTAGCTTTATTTTTGAGCTCAGTATTCCAACATGGCATTGCGATATACAATCGGATTTAACAACTGAGCACAGGGCCGACATGAGCCAATGGAAATAACAGGATGTAGTCATGATGAATCTATAATCGCAAACAATCCTCCTTCAGCGCGCACACACAGACACACACACACGCGCGCGCACACACACACACACACACAAAATCAGAACAAGTGAACACAACAATCCCTTTGCGCCTTTGAAAATGTGTCCGTTCAGAAGTAGCGAAAACAGAAGCAAAGTGTGGGTCAGCAGACAGGTGAGTAGTAAGACACAGCTGCTTGTAATTGAACAAGCTCAATCGGAATAAGGCCTTGAGAAAGTGTCGCTAGACACGCGGAATTTGGCGAAGCCAAACGTTTCTTAGACTTTGAGACCCATATGTCTGTGTGGGCTTTATACGACGATAATGATCCCCTACAGATGTTACAGTTTCATCGCCAGGGTGACATCTGTGTTTGAATGTCTTCACATAGATGGACCCACAGCTAAAGCAGTCAGCGACATGGCAGCGTCTCTGTAGGGCTCTTGGGGCTAGCAGCACATCTGTCGGAGCTTCTCAGAACGCCTTTACTTTTGCTCGTAAACACCAGCCCCATTGAACTTTCACTTGGCGTTTTTTTTGGGCAAAAAAGCCACCAGTGGCAAACAATGTCTTGCATTCATGCTTACGATCCGGTCGCTAGTTTCCCTTTGTACGGTTGCAGTGCTGTTACCCTCTGACCTTTCAGGTTTAGCCCGGACTTTTTATTGAAATGTTTAGCTCTAGTCACCTGCCTCTAAGCATTTTCTGATCTGGGAGCGAGGCATATGATTGGCTTAACGAAAGTCCATTAGTCTTTTCCATATGCTCCCGCCCTCCCGCTTCACTCGTCCTGTCCTCTCTCTTTCCCTCTGTCTGGTTGCGTTCAGACGGTGCTCCGGGGGGTACCGTTGAGCGTCACAGCCTTGGAGCAGGGCGACCCGGCTGTCTGTGAACCCGCCCACAGTGAAGA